ATAAGAGCAGCTCCAGTTAGCGTGTCTGTCTGATAAAGCCGACTTTGATGGCAGCGATAGCTCAGACGCCAGCCTAAATGTGGCCTGCTCAGGGGTTACAGTCAGTCTGTAGGAACCTTTGTCTGCAGAATTAAAGGCATATTATACTCGGGTATTGTGGGGGGGGGGGGCTTTTGCTTTTATTCCACTTTGTAGTTTGCTTGTAAATGAAGGTAAAATCTAACAAATAATAAAACATAGACACAGTTTTCCTCTCAGTTTATCCAAAGCATATAAGCCTGCACCTATATCAGGTGTCATTATCCTCCCCTTCGTCTTCCAGCCTGGCAGCATAATCAAATCCTCTTTGCTTGAGAAGCAACATCAACCTCCAAGTTAACAACCTACACACTGACGATTGCAAGATGGGTTGTAGATTTGAATTGTGCAATGACACCATTAGCATACGTCTTGTACTGGTTTTTGTTTGCTATTTTCTTTGTGAGGAATCAGGCATTTTTACAAAAGTGCTCACCTCCCCAAGGGCAAATGTTCCACCTGAACAAGTTCCACCTCAACACTGTTTTGCAGGGGAACCGTCACTGCATCCTGCATGTTGATTGGTTTAAAGAAATACAAACAAGCCAGATTGTTTTTTTCTATAGCAGAATGATATTGGGTGCAGTCAGATCATTCTCTAGCGCTGACACAGCGCTATGGAGATAGGTCCGGCTATGCGAGACCAGTTCATTGGTCGAGTCTAATAGCTGAAGGGGAATCTAATCCTTGGCACAGGATGAGAGACTGCTGCTCCCCCTTCTCTCCTTGCTGCTCCCCTCCTCTTGAATGTGCTGCTTAAAGGGACTGGAAATAGTGGTTTTATTTTGCTTTCCTCCTCAGCAAAGTTTTGGAGTTCAGCTCTGCTCCCCGCTCTGGATTAGGAGAAATGAAGTATAATGGAGGTGGCCCCAGAGCTTGGTGGGGAAATGTTAGCACGGAGGGGAAGCTGTTGTTTGTCTGCCTGTCCCTGACACTCGGCCTCCCATTCATCTCACTCCAAGGCTGCAGAGCTGTGTTTACCCCGGGGCAGCTCTTTTCTGCCTCTCCCCCTGCCCTTTCCCCCTCCTCCTTTTCATGCTGTCTTTAAAAGCATTACTGGATGATCATCAAGGATTGCCATTGAAACTTTCAAACCCCCATTTTTGTGTACTTAGCAGTACTTCCTAGACTTGCCCTGGAGTGCAAGGGACTCATAGCTGTGTGATCTACCTATTTCAACATGTAAACATGTGAAAAGGACTTGGGCAGGTTGTGTTGAACAGAGAAATATTTAAGGGCTGAATTAATGGTATGTTGGTCTTTGTCTCATGATTTAAAGAAATAATAATAACTGTAATCTTGTAATAGGACAGTGCAGCTACTGAAGTGAGGGATCAAGGCTTGATATTTTACAGTTTAACCATAAAATGTATTATCCTAAAGTGGTCAAATGTTTAAATAAATAAAAAGAAACACAAATGTAACCGAATACAATATATGTAACCTATTTTTTTCTGTTTTAAAAACTGAAAAAATAAACTTAAAAACAATAAATGCCAATACCAATATATAAATTAGGCTCTAATCTGAACCTCCTTGTGGGCTCTCATTTTTCATGCAGAATAGTGACTTGTTAAACCTAGACCACCTGTAGCCGACCTTTCAAATCCTTTCTGCGTGTGTCACTGTTTGCTTTCTCTGTGTGTTTGTTGTCAGATCTGATTTCCTGCTTTTGATTTTCTGAATTCCTCCAATCAGGCCGACCACAGGGAAACAGAAAAATCAACATTTTCACATGGTTTCCATGGAGTTCATGCCTTGTCATGAAAATCAAACGCCCCACACCGAATGCTTTCTGTAGCTGGAGTAGCATTGGTTAAATATCTCTTGTTTACTGTGTGATTGTACTGAGACATGTAGTACGTGCAGCTACAGGCATCCAAGGCTACTTTTAATTCAATGAAATGTGTGAGTGGGCTTTTTTTATATGGTGTTTGCTTATTTCCTAACACTTAAATGAAGCCAAACAGAGACTGTCCTTATCATGGTGCTAGAACACTAGTAGCCACTTTATTCTGCAATCAGTATGGCTATGGAAACTTTCAGACTAAATAGCCACAGAGCTACTGTATGTATCTACAGTTTTGTGATACTAATGCCCTGGGAGCTGATCTGAGTTCAGATCATTGCCTGTGACTACAGGAAGAGGAAGTGGAGCAGCCATGTTGTGGCTGCATCCATTGACTCTGAGAGTGACACTAAGAGAAGAGGCTTTTGAGAATAAAATAACAATAATAACATGCGCCACTATTCTAATGGGTAAACGGAGCTGTTAAAAGGTGGCAGGGTTAAATGGATGCAGAGCACCAGTAATTGCTTCCAGTCCATCGTGGCTCCGCCCTAAACAGACCCTCAAAAAGCCCAACATGAAGTCAAAGGGAGTTGGGTGTCGCTGCTGTGGTCAGAAGGAGGGAGATGCACGCCCTCCCTTTGCCTCATGTCTGACTTTTGATTCAGTCTGAGCCCTCGCCAAACCTATATCTGCGTCATATACTCATAATTAAACCTGGCTTCATACTGTCTTGTGTCAATTTGGAAAAAGGAGATAAATATTTACCGAACAGCCAAACATGGCTGAAGAAACAATGCTTCCTTAAAAACCTAGAAGACTGAGCAGAAGCCAGCGTGAGCTCTGGCGTGGAGGCATTAGTTGCTGTGGTGATATTGTCCAAACAGCCTGATTATTGATGGTCTCTCTGTGTTGTAAAATAGATCCTAATGAGTTCCTCTGTCAGCGCCCCCACCTAGACAAAACACACAAGTTCAGGATGAAAACACAAACACGCTGGCTGATTTTCTTCCTCATCCAAACAGACACATGTGCGCAGAGGCACACGTAGACGCTCGACAGAACAGAGCGACAGGAAAAGGCCTGGCTCATGGTGTGCTCATTGTCTTCCCTCAGGCTTAACATTAGGTACATTTCTAACCTTTGTCCTGCTCATTCCTCTTCCTGGTCCTCGCAGTCTCACTGGCTACCTCCGTTGCAGGCTACGTGTGAAAACTAGATAGTGTCAACCAAATAGTTTATGTTTTAGTCTTCCCACTCAAAAAAGGAAGAGACAGTAGCCATTTGGTTCTTTGTGTTTGTGTGCACAGTTTCAAAGTGAGTTTACCTTGATGTGTGGGCTCCATTTGATTTGAGACAATAGAGGGCCATAAACAAGTTGGGGCTGAGTTCTTTGAGCGGCCGAGCCACACTGCAGTAAAAGCTGAGCTCAGAGTGCAGGAGCTGGAGTGTGGAATTCACTAATGGCACATGCATGTTGGGGCCCCTGAAGAGAGGGGGTCATTTCAGCCATCACTGTGTGCGCAAACACACAGAGAGTCTGTCTGCAGCTTCCCCCGCACCCCCACACATTCTCTCTCTCTCTCTCTCTCTCTCTCTCTCTCTCTCTCTCTCTCTCTCTCTCTCTCTCTGTCTCTCCCAATCACTTACTCACTCACTCACTCACTCAGTCAGTCACTCACTCACTCACAGAGAGCCTTGAACCAGCTGGCTCTTTGTCTGTGCAGGTCTGGTCAAAGTTTTTTGCTAATCTCTGAATAAACTTTACTTGTGTGGGTCACTCAGCAGAAAGGTTTAGTTGGGTGGGAGGTGAGTGAGACATTTGGTTTCTGTGTGGATCTGTGATGCTCCACCTTAAAGGCGTTTGTTAATGGGGCGGGCGGTCATTAAGCCCTGAGAGCAGAGAGACTGAAAGGAATGGGGCCACAGGCCCAGGCTTTAAATCCTCTGTGCCAATAGACTCTCTGAAGCAAAATAATGGCATCACTCTGTGTGTGAGTTAATGGGAGCTGATAGCATGAAGGCTGGGGGGTCAGCGGGTCACGGGCTTGTGCTAAGTTGTCAGGGAGCTGAATGCCGTCCCTGGGCCCACAGTAGGGGGAAGAGCTGGGTGGAGGGGGAGGGGGGACCCCCTGCCTGGCCCTCTGCCGTCACCCCCACTCTTGTGGAATGTGAAGAAGATGAGGGAAGAGGAGAAAGAGGCACCTTCATTCTCCAGGAGGAAAGGGTGACGAGACGGATGTGAGATCATGGAACTCCTTCACTTTTTCTTCCTCATCCTCCAGCCTCTCTCTGCTCGCAATATGGCAGATCTTTATGAGCGATATGAGTGTATGACGGCTGTAGCAGCGTCTGAGAGCAGTCAGCAGTGGTGTCTGTTCAGAATGTTGAAAATAGAAGTCTACCTAGGGAGCAGTAACTCACTGTGAAGTGCTGGGGGCTGTCACTGAAAAGAGTTCACAGACTGCAGCCATGAAAACTGAATTAACAAGCTAATTTACTGGACAGAGATGTTTAGGAATGAGATGCCAACTTTGTGCCACTGTAAAAAGAAAAGTGTGTTTTGTTTTGAACAGTGCAGGGTTTATTAAGAGTGCACAGGCAAAATGCTGTTTTTTTTTTAAAGATTTGACAGTAAGAACATCGTCAGTCTGTCACACAACTGAAGTTACTTATTTTGTCAAGTTTCAGTCCAAACACTGAGTGTAATCCTGAATTAATTCTATTAAACATGATGTGTTTTGAAAGTGCATGTGTGAGCAGCTGAAACAGGGCTCTGTGCTGGGTGGTCAGAGTTTAATCGTTACAGTGCCCTCCTGAGGCAGAGCAAGGAAGTTTAGGACTTCAGATTGACCTCGCTACACCCTCCACCGCCAGGATATGTATAGAATGCTGCGTGTGTGAGTGTGTGTGAGACGGATGTGCATGCAGTGGTATTTATACAAGGCTTAGATTTCAATACAGTGCCTCCGTCAGTATTTATAGTTTGGTCATCTGCTCTGAACAATAAAAAGAGATAGCTAATCCCTTAAAACTCAAGCCTTCCTTTTTACTGGCCCTGTTTGCTTTTGTTTATGTTTTGTTTAATGACTCTCTCTCTCTCTCTCTCTCTCTCTCTCTGTGGCTCCTCTAGATGCCAGTATGTCGCCTGATGCCCCTAAGCAGAGCCACTGGTGTAACGTGGCGTACTGGGAGCACCGCACACGTGTGGGTCGCCTCTACACAGTGTACGAGCACTCCGTCAGCATCTTCTACGATCTACCTCAGGGCACGGGCTTCTGCCTGGGCCAGCTCAACCTGGAACACCGGAGCAGCACCGTACAGCGCACACGAGGCAAAATCGGCTACGGCATCCTCCTCAGCAAAGAGCCGGACGGCGTGTGGGCATATAACCGCAGCGAGCACCCCATATTCGTCAACTCCCCTACTCTGGACATGCCCAACAGCAGAACTCTGGTGGTGCGAAAGGTGATGCCAGGCTACTCCATCAAGGTATTTGACTATGAGCGCTCGTGCCTCCTGAGGCACACCACAGAGGCGGACCTCCTGGATGGACCCTACGACCCCAACAGTGTGCGCATCAGCTTTGCTAAGGGCTGGGGCCCCTGCTACTCAAGACAGTTCATCACCTCCTGCCCCTGCTGGCTGGAGATCCTCCTCAACAACCATAGATAACACAGACGGACCCCATAAACTATCCCAAATATCATCTACCTAGATTTAATATAAAGTTTTATATATTATATGAAATATATATTATACTTGTAAATACGGAGTCATTTTTACAATGTAATTATTTATGTATGGTGCAATGTGTATATGGACAAGAGGAAAAAAATGGAAAATGCACTTTGGCTTATATATATTATATATATAAATATATATAAAGATAAAGAATCTTTCAATACCAACTTGAGAAATTATACAGCAAAATTAGGATGAGCCTGGATTTGATGTATAGTTTTCATATACTATTAATATCCAGACAAAAAGCTAACACCATTCACACATTGATAATAAAGTATTCGCATAATAATACTTTGTTTGGTCTGTATCTTTAGCACTTGGTTTATTACATGCTCAACCTTTTACTTTTATTCTTTTTTTTTTTTTCAAGGTACATTAACAAGTGTATTGGTATGTACAATTTTAGAAGACATCAGTATACTAACCTGTTACCTGTTGTGATTTGTCTAAAATGAAAACCATCACAAATCGGAATCCACCACGTCGTGTGATAGGAGTCTGATGAATCAGTGAAGGCTATGTCCTAACCAAACAGACCCAATTAGCTAGTGATTGCCTTCTTCCCGTTTAGACTAAAATGGAGCCAAGAGAGATTTCAAACTAAAACGGGGCCAGCAGCATTTCCAAGCTTTTCTGTTTTAGCGGCTCTAAAACTCCAGAGTAGTGTGGACACCACGCATATCTGCAGCAGAGTCTATACATTTTCAAGCGAAGATGAAGCAGGATGGATGTCCAGAGTGGATGATCTTTTGTGACATGTAGGTCAAGGGTTGAGATCATCTTTTCCTGCTTAGTGTGTGAGCAGATGATATAAAGAACAGAGCTGAACTACTAAACTTTGCGAGTCAGAGAACGATCCGAGGTGTTTAATCAGGATGATTATTTTCAGCAATAGAGTGATATAGTTAGTAGTTATAGGTACAGAGGGGTAAATAAAAAGACCAAAGCAGATAACTGATGTTTATATTTCGATCTCAGCTGATCCACATGTCCTTGAGGTCCAAAGGAGCCCAAGTAACGAGGACTAAGGAGATGGAGCAGTAGAGGACAGTGTAGGAGGAAATGATGAAACTCCTCGAGCTCAGCAATTTAGGCCATGCTTCCCAAAGGTGTTCCTAATTCAGCACATCATCGCTGGCTCGCGGTCGCCGGGCTCGGGCCTCTGCAGCCAGCGTGTCTGACAATGGATGGTGTTATAACCGAGCAGGGATGCGGCACCGTGAAACCGGCGCAGTGATACTGGAATGTATGCAGAGAAACCAAGGAGTTTTACAAGCCTACTGGAATCTTAAAAACTACAGCCAAGGTGGATGTGGTTTTAGCTGGCTTCCTTCATAATTGCTGGTGTTGGGTTGTCAGATTGGCGGTGGTGGTAGTGAGGAGGAGGAGGGGGGCGGAGGTCTCTGCCAACATTCAGCAATAGAGGCATTCAGTAACACACTAATTCTGGTTCAATGAGCGCTGAACTGTGCCGTTACAAGGATGTGCGTTTTTTTTTAGAAGTGGGCATTAAAAACTGCTGGATGAGCTTTTTATGTGAGCAGTTTGTGAAAGGCGTGCGTCGAGCAGAGAGATGACGAGAAGAGGTTCTTTTTTCTCTCATATTTTTTCATTGAAAATGCTGCTTTCCAGTCAGGTGTGCTGTTGAGTGCAGCGTCTCTGTCCTTCCTCTCCTTCATGAGGGCTCAGACAGCCTCCTCCAGGCCCGCTGCCTGTCTGGAGCCAAGACTGTGCAGAGTTCAAACAGCAGAGAGGAGTGGCTCCACTCCGCCTCTGCCTCCGCTCTCTTCCCTGCAACTGGGGGCCATTATCCCGCTCCTTTGTGTCTCTGTTATGGGAAAAGGGCCCACATCACCACTGGAGAGGAACTGGCAGACAATTATATGGGGTGGCGAGAAGCTAAGACACATAGTGGGCAGATTACACAAGCCACCACAGAGGGTATGAGAGGGGGCCTAATTAGGCAGGCCTGGGGGAGAGGCCAGGCGACAATACACATCGACTGAAGCTGCTGCATCTCCGGGAAGGCGCCTGCTCCACTCCTCTCCAGAGCTGGAATAGTTGTGGCAGGACGACTGCAACTCTGGGCAAGATGTAGGAGAGTGGGGGGGAAGCCATGTAAGCAGCTTTGTGCGCTCCATGAGCTCAGGAATGGTATTGATTAACAGGCTGCAGCTCTCAATCATTTTCTGGAGAAGTCGGTCTGTGTCGTTCTCGGCCCTCCAAACCCCAAGCCGCCATTTTGTTCCACTGTTTATGATACGCAGAGCTGTAGTTGCAGCGCAGCACTGATTAGAAACGGATGTCGGGGAGAAAACAACCGTGGCTGCTACTTTTCACAGCAACGCAAAACACGAAGCGCACGAAAATGCTACACAGGGACATATATCTGCATTTATGCATGTCCGTGTGCAAATATGAGTCTGAGTGTGTGCGCGGACAACGTCTTTTTTAAACTCTGAATTTGGAAACCCTGTTATTATGGCTTGTGTCCTGCCAAAGCCTCATTACATTCCTCCAACTGTAGTTTCTTGTCTGTGAGCTTCTCCTAAGGCCTGGTTCTGCATTCACAGTTGGCAGCAAAGCACTGAGTTCTGATAGCAACAATCAAGTTGCTAAGTTCATCTGCTCCCTTTGAATTAAAGGCGAGCAGATGAACTCGGTTAAATGTGAGAATAACTATGAAACTAAGAAGAAGAATCATTTGGAATAGTTTTCTAAGAGTTAAAACAAACACAAAAGCCAGTGGTGAAAAGTTAGTAGGTCGTTGGAGCCAGACCGATGTGGAGCCACTGCAGCTCGCCTCTATTCGCTCCATCTGATTAACCCCGTCCTGCACATCTGGCCCCAGTAAAAGCACAGTGAGGTAATAGCACCTTTTGAAACACAGGCAGAGATTACACAGAGCTCCTGAAACACTTCCTGCTCTCCCTCTCTTCTCTCTGTCTCTCTCTCTCGTGAACACCGGCCCATGGAAGTCTTCTCACCTTGGCTGAGGGTGTTAATTACGACTCCTCGCAGCTGCCATGCTAGCCACTTACAGGGCGTGCTGACACATGCCAGTGCACAGGGGATCCACGCTCTCAGAGGGGATTATGGGCCGGCGTGATGGTAAGTTGGGAAATGGGAACGACTTTTTCTTTTGGGTGGTTTTCTTTTCCACCTTTAATAGACTTGTGTTTAAGACAGCAGATGGGACGTGGCGTGTCTGATGTTTCTGTGCTTTGGTGTGGGTTGCGTTCCTACTCAGGTGTGCATCTCATCTCTACGTTGATCAGAGGCAGCATTTGAACGCCCCCCCGCTGCTTCATTTTGCCTCCAGGACGAAATTTTTTCGTGTTTTTGCGTCTCCCTGATGGCAAACCATGATTCTGCTACTGTGCAGGCCTCTTTGAACCGAGCCTGGAACAGACCATTGAGTAAGCATTTAGGTGGTTTTTCTTTTTCAGAAGCCAAAAGCAGCGCGGTTGTGATGCTCCTCTGCAGATCCCACCCTCCCTTCGGTAATTACAGGGTGCACAGGGGCCTCTCTGACGTACGAAAAGGATTTATTTTAGTGAGTTTCCACAGAGGTTAAAAGAATGCCACAGTGAGCACATGGGCACACACACACACACAAACACACACACACTCCCTTAGGCTCAATCCTGACAACATTTATCAGCCTATTCCGTCCTCCCCCCGTCAAACCCAGATCATAGATACACAGTCGTCCTTACTGATTCTACCAGACGTTTCTACAAAACCCTGATGTCGATGATCACTTGTTTAAATTCTGCTTATAAATAAGTTGAAGCAGGCAGAGTAAAGTCACACTCTCTCTTTACTATAACACATCCTACCTGACATTACTTAAAGCTTCACTCAGGCTTAAGAGACAGAGGGTTTGTCTTCCTCTGTCCGTCCGCCTGAGGAGTTTTCATGATAAGAAGAAAATATGTATTTGCTCAGTTCTGTGTGATATTGTCTAAAGAAGTCCCTATAATTTAATACCAGCCTTTGATAAAGTTGCCTTATTGGCTCTAATCAAATCCCTCCAAACCCCTCCATCTACATTTTGAGGCAGTGGCACATAAATGCAGTGTGCTGCACTTCTGCTGATACATATTTTTATGGCTGCATGGTTGTGGTTGTGCCTGATTTTGTTTTTTTGGAAATGTGATTCTCTGAATAGAGTCTCACATGTTTTGAGAAGTTATCCTTTATATTGAAGTATGTCGTGCCTGTTGATCTCTCCAAGAGCTCAACAACTTTTTTCCACAGGCCCAGTTTGTCCTTTTAGAGTTTTTTTTTTTCCGAGGGGCTGTAAAAGAGAAGATCTAGGAACGCGGCCCCCTTTTTTTCTGCAGGGCTCCTAATATGTTCCATATTGTGAGTTTAAATGGGGTGGACTCAGGAAATGCAGTCACACTGCTTTGCCTTCCAAGCTTCCAGTCTGAGGTTTGGCCTGCAGTGCCGGTGGTTCTGTGGACTGGGGCTGATTGGGCTGCTGGAGCTGCCGAGGTGGTTAGGCTCAGCCATGTGGGCTTTCTTCCTCTGCTCCTCAGGAGCCGAGATGTCCACGTCGATGGTTCTGTTGTGTTATGTTTCTCTGCCTGCACTGGAGCCCCATTTCATGTCGACTGCAGAGCAACGACTTTCATTCAGGCCTGCTCTCACACTTTAGTTGACACGGTGTAACTTTCAGAAAGCTGAATCATTCTGCCGGTTCATTACACAGAAAAATAGGCTGACATGTTGTGAAACTCGCTGATGTGCTTTCCTGCCAAGAGTCAGATGAAAAATCTGATACCACTCCGACGTCTTTAACAAGCAGCTTATTGTAGATAAGCTTAGTTTAGCATGGACTGGGAACAGCCTGGTTCTGTCTGAAAATATGAAAATCTTCTTACCAACAGCTCTTAAGCTCACCATTTAACACAATAAAACTGCAACCTCAGACTTTTTAAGACCATAATGAATGAAATTTAAGTCAAATGCGACAGATGTGAAGGAATATCAGAGTCCAAGAATAATTTACACGTCCCTGTAATTGAAGATAAAGTTTTCACCCCAGCCAAAGTGTGCTGCCATAATTTCTGTTTGTGATTTAACTATAGAGGGTTAATATCTGCATGGATGAGAAAGAACTACAGCACACAAACTATGCATATGGTCAAAAGTAGCATTAAAAAAACACAAATTATGTAATTAAGACCTAGAAACACATTTAAGACCTAGTAGATAACATTTTAACACATTTAGGACTTTTTTTTTTACTTTTTAAGACGCACAGAAACCCTGAACTTTTT